AAGTCCAAAATTTCAGAGGTTTAATATTTTAGAAAAAAGTTTTGAGTAAACCACCTCGTTTTTTTATCATGCTTCAAACATAATTCTCCAAAGTATAGGTTAATGGAATTTTCGTTGAGAATATTTTTGAATATTTACAGCTATATTCTATATACATATATATGCATATATATTCCATAAGTGAAGAAATAATAAAATAAATGAAAACAAATAGCTTTTGTAAGGCAACGCGTAAATGCATACAATGTAATAGCCACTCCTTTGTATGGTGTGCAAAGTCTCATGTTATTGTTAGACCGTTCGATATGTTCAATAACGCGATTATTTCAATAGTGTCAAAATTCACTACATTAAATAGTGGTTTTGTACCAACTGTGCGGCTAACAGTCGCAATGATTGCCTTCTATCAGTCTTTATTCTCGAGTTCAAGTAGTATCATGTCGTAATAAATATCTTGGTAAAACACGATTGATTATCGTTTCCTTCCCAGCAAAGAAAATACGTCAAACTAGAGAATTAAACCCAATTAGCAAAAGTGCAAACACCTTACAATTGCATTACGCCTCCAAATATGTCCTGCAATTAGATTAAACGGTTAAAATATTCGACAAACAAATGATGTAACATACCTGAGTATATATTGAAAAAATACACAGATGCCAAAATATTACATATGAAATTAAAAGTAGCTAACTTAAATTGGCTTACATGAGAACTTTGGGTTGAAAATTGCATAGAACTCATTTACAATACAATTACAAGCGCACCGTGATATCAGCGTAACGTAATGATACGTGTGCATATATCAAGACCTTACTGGTTAACCAGAAGTTGAAAGGTGCATTACAAAGTACCTCATGAAACTGAGTCCCTAGTAGCTTACGCTTTGTGAAACTCATCCAGATATTCTCGACTGCAGCGAAGAGAGTTTCCCCTACTACTACTCTACTAATGAGAGTGCTATAGCTTAAAAACGGCTCAGAATTAATTCGAGCTGGCACGATTTTAATGTAGTTTTAAGATTTGTATACTTCCTGTAAGGCTCAAGTTGCTATTTACTAACTGCGTACCTCCTACTTCAATGTGTAATATGTGTCTTAAGATTTTTCCGACAAATGGAGGGGCAGACGGTTTATTCTGAGCCGTCTGAAATACACTCGGAGGGCTTTTCATTCTCTGCCATTTAGGCTAATACTCTATGAAAAATACGCTATGCAAAATTTCAAATGATTTATTGTATTAAATTCAAGACAAGCAATAACAGCAAGCAGACAAGGTTCCCGTCCAGTATAAGCAAGGATTGAACTTTTGGAAAAATGATTAGGAAATCGTTAAATATATAAATATTTAACAAACTACCAATTCAAAGATGCTTAACACATATTCTTCGAACATGAGAAAAATGTTGGGAAACATTTAATGAGGAAAAACTTACTCATTGGAAACTTTTAAATTAAATCACGACAGAGCACACGGGTACAATTCATAAAAATGGTTGTAGATGTGTAAATCGGAGCATGAACTATATATTTTCAGTCCGAATCCACAGTACCTTCTCTCTCTGTCACTAACCACCTCCCAATATTGTTTTTAGCAGGTAATTTCATTTTCTCGATTGCGATATCAGATATCTATTAGCAATTTATATATTACTTTTCAATAAAAAAAGTTTGATGGAGAATGTTTTATTATTTATATTTCAGAAAATCAGATTTAAATATGTTACTATATAAATATCTTTTCTTACTTGTGCCATCTCAGAAAAAGGGTTTGAAACTATATTTATCAATAAATCCACGTGTGTACAATAGCTTCTGCTTAGAAAATAAATCTAAGTAGTTTAAGCAGTTTTTATTTGCTTCTCGTTGATATCAGGTTCCGAAACGAAATAATTTCATTTCGTTGAGTTCATTTTTCTTGTTAACGAAACGGAAAGATACAATATCTCAGTATTGGTTGAGCGTCTCTGGCTTAAAATTACTTTTGGGTGAGTTTTAATTCTGAGTGAATTTTATGTGTTATATTTATTCGCACCTAGAAATGGTAAGTTTTATTTTCATTATTTTCAGTCAGATTTACTTTCCTTTATAACTGTTTTTGGGTAAGCGATATCTTTTGTGTTATTATTATTTTGTCACTGTTGTTTGCGTACTGTTTTTTAAAGCCAGAACACAATGTTCGAAATTGTCCTTTAAACTATTTTATATTAAAACCTTTAATTTGAATATTTTTGCTTTTTTCTTACTTTTTTCCTTCCTTATTATTATTATTTTTACTAATTATTGAAACAGTGTTCATATTACTGATTTAAGTAACGTAAATTGCGCAGGCTTAACAGTAGATCTCTTGCTTGGACTGCATGAATGATCCTCAAGGTCATTCCAAGCTAGCCAGTGCCCAAAATAAATCTCAGCTTTCTGCTCAAGCAAAAACTTCAATTGCAGTTCCTGATTTTATAAATTTGCTCTCACCATGCAAATTATAAAATTGTTGTTGAGTTATGGCTACACAACTTGTGAACATTAAATTTTAGTCACTTAAATATTCGTAAATTTAATTATAAATCTAAACGAATGCATCGTATTTTAAAGTTACTGTTAATGTTTGCTTTTAAAATGCTCATTCCGCGTTATTGTATTTGAGTTCAAGCATAAAATTATTAGGAAAATCGATGGCATTATTGCTCTGATTACTCGTCTAAATGTGGGACCAAAAAACTAATAAACAACCGCTCGCTGAGTATCTCTTATCAAAATCTAACATTCAGCTGGAGTGCAATTCTGTAACTTTTTCGATACGATTTGTCTTATCGCAGAGTTCCATATTTTGTCGCTTGCGCTAACGATTATGCGATTCTCTAACTCAGTTTTTATGATAATCGACAACGGACATTTCCATTTTATTAAAATGAAAACTAGGTGGCACCATAGCTTAACAAAACGTCAAAATATGCAAAAAGCACAAAGAGGAATGACTGAAACCAAAAAATTCGTTATAGAAATTATTTTTATAAAATGAATACCAATACTTTACGAAGTTTGTCAAATCAAAAACATTTCATGGTTCGCACTTTCAAAACTACGCGGCATGACTCTTCGCTCTACAGAAGAGCTTTAAATAAAATAATCGTGCCGTGCTTTTGGGTACTTAGCTTTTGCCGCCATAATCTTGCGATAAGGATCACATATCTATGTACAAATATAATGAACTTCGTTACTTCAATAGTAATTGAAAAAAATTTACTCTCACCTTTTGAAAGTTGGTAGAAAGGTATCCATGATTTCTGGAACTCATGACTGACACACGAGCGCAAACGAGAGCCCCAACAGTGCCTGCAACAAATGGCGATGTAATGATAAATCTAACCTTCACAGGAAAAATTGAACGGTTGACTGTTTCTGTCAGGCGATGAATACAATGGCTTACTGGCAATTGACTGAGGGGTATTCCATACTGCTCTCCGACGGGACGTGGGAGCATCCAATTGAAAAGAGCCGCAAGGCGATTTCTTAACTAGAGCAGCTGACGAAACATGTCTGTAACATCACATTTTTGAAAATATATAGAAATGATCGTTTGAACAGAATCCGCGGAGGAGTTCTACTTGTGATTCACTCGTCTTTGCCCTCAGAGGAAGTATGAATTTCTTTCGTAGTTTCCTTTGAATTTAAATGTATCTGTGTTCGTACTGATAAGAGTGTGTGTATCGATGAAAATTTCGGACCCAATTTTTCTTGGAAAATTTTAATTTACCTTTTATCTAATGGAGACAAATCGATCGCAACATCAACCAAGTTTATACTAGATAATGTTTATCTGAGTTCTTGACCAAGTTAATTTAGTATCAACGAATTTTATTATTATCTTGGATTTAGTACATGTTGACAACATTTTTGTGACTCGGTGCAATCCTCCAGTTAGTTCGGAAGATATTTTTCACCCTGCTTTGGAGATAACTTTCAAAATCATATATAGTTAAAGGGCTAATATTTTTTGAATACACAGTCCGTAGTTCTAAGTTGGCGACAATAAACAATTCCAGTTATTCATTAGCCTATCAATAAATCTTCCTATAGGGAAAGCTTTGCGTTAGTTTCAACAAAAGCCGCTTGATTTTTCATCGTTCAATACTTTACCCAGACAACGTAGACTTTTGGAAAAATCTAACTTGTTAAAAAGATTTTCAAGAAATATAATTTGTTCGTCTCGAACTCTATGCGATTAAAACATTTCTGCGCATTTGTGCTTACGAGTATAATATACTCGTATCAAATAATAAATAATACAGATTATTTTACTAGAAAAGTTTGGTACTTGTTCCGATGAACTTTTTATTCAATGAGATTTAACAAGGATTTTAGTATTTTATTTTTGCACATACATATATGTGTACATATGTATGTATAAATGTTTTTTATCAACTTTTCAGTCGATGTGCTTGCAGGAAATGAAAAAATTATTGTTTGCAAACGTGAGCAATTTCGAACCAGAACTGTAACAACAAACATAATTTCATAAGAGCACTTAAGTAACCATACAAATTTATTTACATTAGAACACAGAAAACTGGCTGATCAGAGCAAGATTCATAAAGACATACATATATACATGTACGCTTAAAATGTAGTATCTAACCAGAACGTTATTTTAAACGCGAGCATAGGATTTATTCGCCTATTTGTAAATATTTATTATTCACTTCTATCCGACAGTTGCATTTGCTCTCATTGGAAAATTGCAGTTGGATAAAATGCAAAAAGTATGTCGAGATACGAGATCAAGTGGAATTCACGTCAATCCGTAAGAGACAGCGCATAGTGACGAACTGTAGTCAACTCGCTCCTTTACACATCACCGACTCGTACTTCCAATTGGAACAACTTGCTCACGCTTCCATTGCGGCACGATCGTAAGTGAAGACTTGTTATGTACTTGTTGAGTCAGTTAATTTTTGATTTCTGTTTTGTTTTCACCATTCGCTCGTGTAGCAACAATAATGGACAGTGTACGGCATTAACTAGTCGGACTATTTATGTATGGAAATGTGTTTGTTCATGGAAATGTTGAATGTAAATTGGTATATAACACACATACTCACTTGAATCACTGTGGACATCTGTTGAATAGCCATGCTGTATCAGTCGCGATCGGACCCTGCTACACAACGTTTCAACGTTTATGCATGTGCGCACATTTTAACGCTACGCTTAGTGAAAGATTTTTTTTTTTATTTATGTAGCTAATTGGAGTTGGTAAAGTGAAGACACATATAGAATGCTAAATAATTATGAAGTCATTTTGTGTAAAATATACAAGTAGCATCAGCTGACTACTTTTGTGTATCGTATAAAAGTCTGCATGTGCATGTGGGGAGCGTATAGCCAGTGAAATAAAACAAGGCGATTAAAAGTGAGCGAATAAAGTTGGTAGTGGGACATACGTACATAAAATTTTTGTATGTTTTGTAGTGTGTACGTACGTACAAATGTCTCCAAATGTACTATACGTTTTAAAAATGAATATAAATTATTAAAAGCATATGTACCAATGTGTTATTCAAATAAAAGTGGTTAAAAATTACCTAGCCACTCATGAGTTCATCGGAGCGCTTTGCTGCGTCTCGAAAGTGTCGGATCATTGCACAAGTAACAAATTATCAAAATTGCAAGCTATCACCAACGAATCAGGTTAAATAATGAATATATTCCTTTTGTCATTGCCGCAACGTTACAAGCGTCTTCTGCAAGCAATGACACTGGCCATTGCAATAATTTACACCTCACTGGTGCTTTATCAAAACGCCTACGGATATCCGAACACACAGGTACGCTAAACCTCACGATTTTATAGTATATACAATATCATTTGTTTTAAAAGCCACTGGTTCGTAGGAATTATAAAAGAATATGCCCTACAAATGTATTATAATTTTTGTTATAGTTCTGATACATGAATGTTACAGTATTTTGTTTAAAATCCCGACAATATTGGAGAAAATCGAAGTACTTTTCAAGGAAATTTCCTGAAATCTTAAAAAAAATCGAAGTTTAGAGAAAAAAGTTCTTGCATGAATTTTCAAAATACGATTGGATATTAAATATATATATATATATATTTGTACATACATACATAAACTTATGACAGGAGAGGAATCCGGTGAAGATTGAGAAGATTCCATTAAAAATGATCTGAACCAGAGACATTAGAGGTAAAATTTTACGAAAGCATTTTATTAGCTGTAAGCTGGCAGATAATAGTGTTGTTACCACAAAACATCTTATTGTAAAGGAGCGGGTCTACTGAGAAGAATATGGGGAAATTTTACGAATTATGAAGTCAAATAGTCGTTTATAATAATGCCCAATAATGTTTGCAAAGATTTTTCTTAATTAATTCACGATGCGATGTATTTTAACTTGGTGGTCTTCGGCCACATTTAAAAAAATAATCCTGGACCGGACCAACACCAGCTTCGCCTTGCACAGTATTCTTAAGGGAAGCACTTTAGTAAGTTGGAGCGAGATATTATAGTAATATACTTACTCTTCAAAAGTGTGGCAGGACAGATTTTTTTTTGTTCTAACGGGCATGTATGCCTTATTTTACTTACTAAATTAAACAAACGTGAAAATAGTTTTTTTTATATGTAAAAATAATGGAAATCATAAATATATTTTTATGATTTGTATAACCTCCTCTGAAACATCTCCCCCCCCCCCTCCCAGGAGAAAATGTTTTAAAAGCTTGTGCTGTGCAAAGCCGATCCAAAAATATATAAATTCTTCAGCAGCTAAATTTTGTCAAATAGAGTTCAAAGTTTAAGGATCGAGTCCATTTTAATAGTACTTTCGAGGTAAAAATCAACATCAAATTTACTTACCCTCGTGCACACTCCTCTTTTTATAAAGCTTATGAATATGCACATATACATATATGATGCAAATTTATAAGCTTAAGCAAATAAATACCTACAGTGGTGTATACTTTTCTACTGAAACATAACAGGTCAAAACTTTTAGTGTTTAATGAGTTCTTCACTAAAAACGTATAACAAAAAATTAAAAGTAGGGCTGCAAGAACAATTTAAATAACTTTACTTACCAAGTAATTTTCTTTTATTTAAAGAGTTTCATATTTTTATATTCTATGTCACTTGTGGTTTATCCAGTAATTTTTGCTACCCTCTATATTTATTATTACTTTATATGGTTTTTTTTTCTGTTTAAATGTAGTAGGTCTTTTTGAAAGATGTTACTTTATTTATAATTAGTTTCGCTTGCCATTTCATACTGACGTTTTGAATGTGTATATTCGGCACATTACTGCTCACAAAATGTCCAAAAAAGTTGTAAAAAATTTAGACCTCTCGGCTGGAAGTTACTCGGGACAGCGGCGATCACCTGCCTGAAGTTATTTTTTAAACACAATTGCAGATTTGTGAATTCATAATAAACCGAAATTCTTTCTTTCTTCTTGAAAACCACATGTCTTACAAACACCCTTATATGTTGCTGAAGCTATACTTTACAATGCTAGATTACTATTAACTTTGTCACTCGCGCAACTTTACATCGACCGATTACAACGGTTTCATTGACTAAATTATTAATTTATCTGAATACATATTGAAAATTTGGTTAATATAATAATTAAAATTTATAAACAAAGAGTATTAATTTGTCCATTTAGAACCTAAGGCTATTCAACTGGTCGTTTTATGATGATAAAATAAAGGTTACTGCTACAATTCAAATTTTAATTTTATTTTCTTTCTAAATTTTATTAGATATTAAAAGAAGATAGATTAATAACTAAAATTGTTTATTTAAAAATATATCATAAAATGTCCTTATATGTCAAATAAAGCTGAAATAGAATTTTATCAACATTAAGCAGAAATACACGTACATATGTACATCTACATATATTATAAGAAAATATTTTAATTTTTTATATTATTTCGAGCTATGTTACTTAAATTTATAAAGGAGTGAAAAAACGCCTAACGCGGTCTATTCTATAAACCGTACCGAAGCCAAAACATACCATAAGAACTTTTCTCCAACATTATATTTTAAGCCCTCATGAGTTCTATATAGAGTAGTACACATACAACAAACATATCGGTTACACCGATTAATGTAAGGAGGTAATGGGTCAGCAAAGTTGAGTGGTTGAAGGGCAAAACGGATAACATTTCTTTGCAGTCTTTCCACTCTTTTGAATTGTGTTGAGTATACTGGATTCCAAATTATGGACACATATTCTAGTTTTAAGCGAACTAAAGAGTTGTACAAGATTTGTCAAGGACCTCTAAAGTTCTTAGTATAACTTCAGAAAACGATAAGCTAGCATACGACTTTGGAACCAAAATTAAAGTTATTCCAAGATCAGATAATTCTTTAACTTTGGAAAGGTTCACATTAGAAGTATTATTGAAGATGGGAAACAGTTTTGAGACTCCAAAAAAGTAATAAGGAAGAGAGAGCTTGTTTTGGATGCTACAAGACTAAACAAATCTAAATAACTTAATTTAGATCTTATTTATTAAATTAGCATAATTTAAGTCATCGGTATAAAGGTAAAGGTGTTTAAAGCAAAAAGGAATGTCATTAATAAATAGTGAAAATAGAGTAGGGCATAAACGCCTAAGAAATGTATTTTTTAGTGAAGGGTCAAATTCGATAACGCACTCTCATTTAGGCCGCATTGAGAAAAAAATGTTAATAAAGGTTAAATAAGATAAATAAATTAAATAAGATAGAAAAATTAAAAAACTTTCATTCATTAACATTATGATGCCAAATAATGCTACAACTACCAATCTTACATACTTCCCACCCATTGCAACCTATCGTGTGAGAGCGCCTTGTAAATGAAATGTTGTCACCACTTGTCGATGCCGTTACTGGTGGTTGTCCCGCAGAAAATATTCGTGTTTGTACATTTGGGTGGTACGGCTTTGAGGTATGTAAGATGGGTAGTTGCAGCATTATACTTATCGTCAATGCAACAACCTCGCTTCGTAATGTTTGCCGATTTATTTGGTTGGAACTGTTTTCTAGTCCATTAATTAAAAGAAATTAAAATCAGGTTTCATTGTATGATTCCATCAAAATTTTATTTAAGTAAATCGTAGATACAAATACAAAGCCTTACATTTTTGCTTGCTCAATTATTCCCAAAATAAATTTCAAAACTATACTCTCTCGCAAATTTATCTTAACGAACGCAGCTCGTTCGCAGAATTGTAACCAATTGTTACCGGCCAGCAGCTGGTCGAAAAACGCAATGTTATTAAAATTTTTAGTCAATCTCTTATTTTGCTACTCTTTCTATCATTTCTATTTCCTTTTTTTCTTCTTCCCTTCCATTTCCATCTGCTTGTTTTTCATATCTATCGCCTTCCTGAATTGGAAATTCGAACCTTCCAAAGCACAAAATCTTAAAAGACATCCAAATTCCTTCGTATAAAAAAATGCAAATAATAATGATGCGCCATAGGTTAATTGAAAGCAAAATTAAATAATTTTAAACGAAAATATTATTAAAATCTCCTAAAAACAAAATGCAAATAGTCTATGTTATGATTTTTTCAAATTGAAAAATAGGGGCGTGGATTCTCTTACCCTATATATAAATGTATAGGTGTGTTAGAGAACGGCTTTACCGAATCCAACCTAATTTACTTGACATTTTTGGACGATTATGTAAATAGATAATTTCGTTTTCGTTGTTACCTTATGACTCAAGCACAAATTCGCAGAATTCAACAAAATATGCAGAAAATTTTTGTTATTCCGAAATTGTAAACGAGCACAACACCTATAATTTTTTATGCGTGTTTGTGGCTAAATTCCCCTAAACGACTCAACCAGCTTAAATTAAATTTTGTATAATGAATTTTATGAAATAGAACTCAAAAATAGCTAAATATGTAATTCAAAAGAGTTGCCACCATTTTTGAAATTATCTATAAACCACAGTTCTTCTCCAAGTGCGTGATCAACAGAACTCATGAAGGTAAATGATTGAAGAGAACTTGATAAAAGGATTGTTTGTGCTCAAATGTGCTCAAATATAATTCGTAGATGTGCTGTCTGTTCTAAAATTTAAAATTAAAAAAAAACGTACAATAAATGAAATTTTTAAAAATGGGCTTGAAACTTCCTCCTATGTGGAAATTTTAATGCATTTAAACTGGTAAGTTAACTGAACAATATTGACGGTATTAAACTCAAGAGAATTTTAGAAGCTTACTTATTAATAATTTAATGCGAATATTAAGTTGGAGATATCTAAGATAGACTAAACGCAAAAATATTATTATTGGGGAATAATCAATCTTCAGGGTATGTAATTTTAGTTGCGGGTGGAGTCCTGGCTCCAGACTAGAAGAGCTAAGGTTTCAGCGGAACCACTTCAACATATTCGGTTTAAGGGTTCGCTGAAGTCTATAGCAACGTCTGTCCACCAGAGGTGTGCCTGCAAGCGTGAGTCGATCTTGAAGTAAGCTCCTCGTTATATATTTAAATGTGTAAAGTATGCAACCTAACTTACAGTGTGCTGGGTTTGAGATCCGTTGCGTAGAATCCAGCCCCAATGAACGCACTTCGAATGCCGTCCACTGCATACATATTAAAGATAATGATTTGAGTGCTGGGATTTCCAGACATTAAATTGGCAAGGTGTCACTGATTTGCGCAGACGCGCCGACGCAAACGATGTGACCTAGGATGTGCTTTTTGAGCGTCTGGAGCGGACTCATGATAAAAAGATACGAGGAGGTTACAGAAGATTTTTAGTCAGAGTATACTGAATTTA